GGAGCAGGGGTATCGCGAATAGCATCAGGCTTCGTTGGAGAAGAATCAAGGCTCAACGCAGATAATCCGGCGAGAAGACGCCTGCAGTTCAATGAAGCACGGCAGTTGTTACAAAAGAAGTTAACTGCTGGCGAGGTGAAACGCTGCAAGAGCACATATTGATCAGGACAGATGCCGCAGCAGGCAATGTGCATCCACCCATCACATTCCGAGCACTGCACTGCCTTCGAACGAGTAGTGACACCTTTACTACAGGACAAGCATTTGGACGCCATGAAAGATGAAGTCCAAATATTCACTGAATGATTCTCCAGAAACGATCTTTATTCTACTTTCTCCGCCCAGAAGATCTCAATGGAACGTAACACTCAGGAGGACGTCGCTCTCACAGGAGGGACTTCGTGTTGTATCAGTCGTTGGTCAGTTAAAACAAAACTGTACAATAATAATGGAAGTGAGAATAGGAAAGTACAATTGGGAAGAAAGATATGTACAAGCGCTACAAGGAAAGCATCACCATTTAGCCTGGTGTACCGGGAAACGAAGTACCTCCAGGCCGATTTTTCATGTCAAAAATTAGCCACTCTCCTCAGATGGGTGGGACTTATACCACTAAGTCCCTTAATGAGACGTATCTTGAACTATTGCTCAGTTTGGGGATTACTGCATGCACTACGGAAAGATAAGAGGGCACCTGATTCTCACTTATTCTATTTTGACGCGTGAGATCCGCCCAAACTTCTGAGGGCTATTTAGTCCCGCTATGTTACCTTCGCGCTCGTCCACTGAAGCAGCATAAACTACGGTCTGATAGGATAAGGACGGAAACTGGTCCGTGGCTCCGTTATAGATCGCTGTAAATCGCTTCCAGTTCACGTGGTTAGAGAACCTTCGGTTGATGTTGTCTTGGGAAGTGATGACTGCTCCGAAGTGCTGATGAACTTTGCTCTCCGATTACGCATCTTTTTGTGAAGTCTCTACGAGGCTGCTCACTACCCAAGGACTGGAAGGAGGCTACTGTTTGCCCCATTTTTAAGAAAGGTGATAAGCACCTCCCTGATAACTATAGACCGGTCAGTTTAACGAGCGTGCTGGTCAAGTTATTGGAAAAGCTCGTGAGGGACGCTCTCGAAGGACATTTGAAAGCGTTTGACTTGCTTAATCCTTCTCAGCACGGTTTTCGTAAGGGCTATTCTTGTCTTACTAACTTGTTAACCGCTCGTGAACACTGGGCCGAAGCCGTTGATTGCGGGAAGGCAGTGGACGTGCTGTTTATTGACTTTTCCAAAGCTTTTGACACCGTTCCACATTCGCGCCTTTTGTACAAGCTGAATTCCTTTGGTATTTCTGGGCCAGTCTTACGATGGATTTCAGCTTTCCTAATCGGAAGGGAAATGTGTGTGCGGGTGGGTTCAAGCTTGTCCTTCCGCCAATGTGTTCTCAGTGGCGTTCCGCAAGCTTCGGTTCTTGGCCCCCTTCTCTTCACTTTATACGTTAATGACCTACCTGACGAATTGGGTGTGCCATCCCTAATGTTTGCGGATGACTTAAAACTCTGCTTCACGATAGACGAGCCGATTGGTCCACTGACCCTACAGGAGGCTCTGAATAGACTTTGGGACTGGTCAGTTTTGTGGCAGTTGCCAGTTAATTTAGGGAAATGTTCCGTTTTACGCGTTGGTCCGAATGACCCGCCGACGCGTTATTTGCTTGGCGGCAACGAGGTACCGCGAGTTCAACTCCAATCTGACCTCGGTGTTTTGCTGTCATCTGACTTCAAGTCCAGTGAACACTGGAAGACAGCTGCTCGTAAAGGCTTCAACATGTTGTGGATGATCCGCAGGTCATTCGGGATCATGACCACCGACATGTTTGTTAGACTATTTTCGGCTTTTGTAAGGCCGCACTTGGAATACTGCGTCCAGGCTTGTCCTCCATGCCTGGTTCGTGATAAGATGGCAGTTGAACGAGTCCTGCGGTCCGGGACGAAAATGGTCTACGACTTAAAGAAGCTGACGTACCCGGAGAGGCTACGTAAGTTGGAAATGTTTTCCATGTATTACAGGCGGCTTCGGGGCGACTTGGTCCTTACATATCGTATATTGATGGGTCAGATTGGTCCTGATTTGACTGGACTGTTTCGCCCAACTCGAATGCCAACCCTTCGTGGCCACCCATTAAAGTTGCACAAACCCCGGTCTGACCGTGTTTTGGCAACTTTTAGATTATCGCGTAGGGTTATAGCTTATTGGAACACATTGCCTGCAGACGTCGTGATGGCACCGACGTTGAAAGAGTTCGAGCATCGACTTGACGCTCTCGGTCTGCAGTTTAAAGTCTTCCCCTTCGTGCCTTAAACTTTTCTTCGTCTATAATGGCTTACGCTTCTTTAACTCATTTTAACTTACATTTTAATATTGCCTACGATATTAGATTAGCTTGTCTTCTCTGTTTTCTTTTCTTTACTGACACTACTGTTTTCTTTTATTCTTCACGTGGCCGGCACAGCGGGGACTGCTAGTGCAGGGCACGTGGGCATTGTTTGGTTGACCATATGAATCGTGTGTGTTGATTTGGCTCTCCTTTGGCACATCAAGGCACCGGTTTCCCTGTTGGATCAACGACGTTTTCGAAGGTGGAACATTCGCGGGATTTTCCTACTGTTCCGGTCCCAATTGAACTTGAACTTGAACTTTGGTGTCGTATTCACGATGGATGTAGATCTCTCCTTCTCGGTGTCTTCTACAGAGCTCCCCTGAGTTCTGGCGATCGTTTACTGGCCTCTAAAGAAGCATGGTAGAAATAAGGATTGTTTATTAGTGGGGGACTTTAATGCCTCTAATGTTGATTGGGATCTTCTTCACTGTGATGCTGCACCTGCCTCCTTCGATTCTACGTTTCTGGAAGCTGTTCTTGAAAGCAATTTAATTCAACATGTCGCGGCACCTACTCGCATTATCCCTGGTCAGACGCCGCACATACTCGATCTTGTGCTTTCGCCTGCACCATCGGATGTTTCTGATTTGAATGTCTTACCACCAATCGGGAGGAGTGACCACTGCCTACTTTCCTTTCAATGGACAACATGGTTGAGCACTCACAACCACTGTGTCTATCGGCGGAATTTCTGGCGTGCTGATCCAAACCGCTTGAAGAAAGCCGCTAGCGAGCAGGATTGGAGTCTCCCTCAGCACTTGGACGTCGATAATGCTTGGAGCCTTGTTTACTCGAAAATGTTGTCCCTTATTGATTATGTTGTCCCCATATCCAAACGAAAACCATTTACTAGAGGTCCCCCCTGGATTGACCGAGAATTACGATCGCTCATGAACCAAAGACACAAACTTTGGAATCGCTATAGGCTTTCGAGATTGGAAATCGATTATATCAATTATAAATAGGTCCGGAACGTATGTACATCGAAAAAACCTACGAAACGGCAGCAATACGAAGGTCATCTGGCTGAACATTCCAAGTCTATACCGAAGCTGCTTTTCTCCTACTTGGAAAGGAACACCAGAGCCGGAAGTGGAATACCTTTGCATTCCCACGATCTTAATACCGTGCTCCACAACGTTGCTGCTAAAGCTAATCTTTTAGCTCGCCATTATTCATCGGTCTATACAACGGGGGTGCCGTCCGTTGATTGTTATTCATCCTTGCTCTCCGCTCTCAGCGATATGGACATAAATGTTACTGTGGTATACAAACTTTTGTGCGAGTTGGATCCCAACTCTTCCCTGGGACCTGATGGACTGCATCCTCTTTTCCTCAAGATTGTGGCCGGATATATCGCTCTTCCTATCTGCCACGTATTTCGGTGCTCACTTGAGGACGGGCGTTTTCCGCTTGCCTGGAAAGCGGGCATAGTCAAATCCATATACAAAGGAGGTAATCGGCAAGATCCTACGAATTATCGGCCCATTTGTCTAACATCTGTCGTCTGTAAGGTTATGGAGAGGATTCTTAAGCGAGCTCTCAACCTGCACTTCCAGATATTATATATATATATATATATATATATATATATATATATATATATATGTATATTTGCAACAGTCTATGAATAGACATTGCACCATCGGAAACCATGGAACTCAAAACAAGGTACAGAAATAGTAAAAGAAAACACAACACAACACAACAATGTCCACGGTTTCGTCAGAGGGCGAAATACTACCCGGTTGCCCAAGCCGAAGTAGGGTGTTGACTTAGGGGACACCACCCCGAGCCTTTGGCTGAATAGCCTGTCCGCAAGGCAGCGGAGCGAATTCAGGGAATCGCGCCCATTGGGAGCCGGTGACTGATTGATCAGTTCATACGCCTTTCGTTTGTTCCTTTGCCAAACAGGGGCCCAATGCTCCCCGAAATTACAGCATCAACTTGCTGGAATACAATGCTTCGCCAGGATGAAGCAAGGGGCAGTGACTTTATTTAGTGGCGAGTCACATCCGCCACGTCACAGTTTTGTTAAACGGACATATGTGGCTTTTTATAGGGAGAACGCTTGCCAGGCGAAAACCCACCACGTCCTGGAACACTGCCGCCGAACCATTTGCTGGAACGGGAAAATCCCGAACCACCCAGCTGGCACCACGAGGAGGTTGTTCGGCACTTCCAGAACCTCAAGATCATTTCAGCTGCGCAGCATTGGTTTTGTCCGCGTTCATGTGTCACCAATCTTCTGGTAGCTCGAAAAAATTGGGCTAAATCCATGGATGCTGGTAAGCGGCTAGATGTCGTATTTGTGGATTTTAGTAAAGCTTTTGACAAGGTTCCACACGAAATTTTGCTTAGCAAACTTCGCAGTATTGGTGTTTCAGGAAAAATCTCTCTTGGCTCACTGATTTCCTGCATGATCACGCTTTCCGTGTGCAACTAAATGAGGCCTTTTCCTTCCCTGTAAATAAGACTAGCGGTGTTCCGCAAGGCTCTGTTCTTGGCCCTGAATTTTTAAAGTATTTATTAATGATCTGGCAACTGTACTACGGGCAGATTGTTTGATTTACGCAGATGATTTAAAGATATGGATGGAAGTCTCCTGTCTAGATGAAGCGGATTTACTACAAACAAGGCTCGATTCGCTGCATGATTGGTCGATCAGGTGTCAATTACCCATAAATCACGATAAATCTTCCGTTCTTCCGATCGGTGCCTCCGAACCATTTGGAATTTATCATATCGGTGGGTTTTTGCTGCCGAACTCTAATCGTGAGAGGGACCTCGGCGTCATTGTGACCCCAGACCTAAAATCGACCGAAGATACCTTGAGGAAAGTCGCTTCTGCCAACAGGTTGTTTTTCGCCATACGACGATCCTTCTGTCTCGTGACTCCGGAGATCTTCAGGCTCCTGTTCACTTCTCATGTACGTTCGATTCTTGAGTATGGACTGCCCGCTGTTTATCCTCTTTCCAAATTTGAATGCAACTTGATTGAAAAAGTTAAGCGGAGAGGATCTAAATCCGTTCTGCAATTACGAAACTTGCCTTACTCGCATCGTCTCCAGTGCCTGAACTTGTTCTCCCTAGCCTACCGTCGAGATCACGGGGATTTGATTTTCACACGGCGTATCGTTAGAGGGGAACTTGGAGTTGAATTGCAGCATTTCTTTCCACTCAATTCTTTCAGTTCGACTCGGGGTCACCATTGGAAATTGTTTAAACAAAGGAGACTTCGGGTCCGTTGTGATGTCACTCTGTCTTTCAGTGTAGTGAACGAATGGAATAATCTACCTGTGTGCGTCGTTGATGCGCAGTCGGAGGAATGTTTCAAACATCAATTGGATTCTTACCTGTTGAGTAAACTCGGATCTTGTTGCTTCTTGTGTCAATGCAGCGGTTCCATTGGAACCGACTTGCAATGTCCACCTTGATCCCTGTGACGAACGGGAGGCGATGGAGCTGACAAAGGATTTTCCTTCTGCTCTCTACATTCAAATGTTCCAATGTTCGGTTAAGGGTTTTGCGCGTCAGCTTGATGCTCTCGGGTGGCAACCACAAACGTTAAATTGTTCCTAACTGGCTCCACTTTATAGTTCTTTTTTAGTGATTCAAATCTTTCGGTATTCTACTTGCTTAGCTCTTCGCACTTTCTCTTTTTGCGTTCTGAGTTTACTTTTTTCTCTTCTCGTAACCGGCCCAGCAGGGATTGCTATGTCAGGATATGTGGGCATTAATTGGTTGCACAGGGGTGATGCGGTTTTTGTCTTAGGTCTGCCGCTATTTCACAGTTTGCCAATTTTTGGTTCATTAAACCACTAAAGAAGGAACACTCACGGGGTAATCTTATCAATCCAGTCGCGCTTGAACTTGAACTTGAAGAATGCCGAGGGGTGGGAATGCAAATTGACGTGGAAATCGGCCATTAGTGTTCCTCACTACTGAAACTTCTGAATGCAAAAGGATGAAACAGACGCTGACAACCCTCACCCTTGCACACCCTAACGACATGCACAGGAAGGGATTGCAACGCCTAATAACTCGGTGCGACAAGGGAGTATCCGTTCTTACCCAGTGGGATGGTAACTTTCGCAGAAGAAATTCATGCCTCGGACACTATCCGTCTTGACTGTGTAACTGCGCGAAGTGTTGACCGATGTTACTGGTTACGATACGGTATGTGAGCAGGATGTCACCGTAACGTCGTGGATATGTTGGACCTCGTAAACCTCAGAGAGACAGTGTACAAGCCTTCACACAGTGTGGTGCGTGTGGTCGCGCAGAAGCTGTATATGGCATCACAAACATATGGTCCGTTAGGACACGGAAGGAGCGGGGAATGGAACAAGTCTTACTTAAAGCTGCGTCAGCAGCTTCCTTCTAACAAAGACAATGGCAGCTACAATTGCTGTGATAATCCACTGACAGAAATGGAGCAAAGCGAAGGCCATAAAACGGTGACCGACGGAACTACTCTGGAAACACCTTGTGTAAGCCAGTGGGATAGTTTTACTAGCGGAAAAGGTAACAATAGTTATGCCCAAACGGCTAGGGTGGTCCTTGAGGCAAGAGTATCTAGAAGCGGCACGATAGGTTATGGAAGCACTAAACTGTTCAGTTGCAGGCAAAATGCGCACATACGTGTGGGTGAGGTCATGCATACTCATTCCCACGCGGCGGAGCACTAAGCAGCTGGAAGGTAAGATGATGTCACAATGCATTGCGTGCGCAAGGGATGCATGTAGTACTGATAGTACTTCAAGTGTAGTTCTCACCTTTTCCATACATGTTATCCTGGTGCTTGGCAAAGCGCAACGGTTCTTCAGGTTTATTAGAAGATTAAGTTGTAATGCAGGAAATAGGAGAGAAGGTGTACACCACAAAGCGGCAGAATTGCGGGTGCTTCCGATGTCCTTAACTATATCTAACCACTCTTTCCATGTATGATCTCGATCGCGAGGTAGGCATAGGTGCCGTAACCGTCACGTAGGGGAGACACCACATATGGGATTAGTGGGTACACCTAACGATCAACTGGAAGCAGCCGCGTGGGAATAAAGGAACGGAAAATGGGAAACATGAAATAAGAGGGGTTACAAATATTGATGGCAGGTAAAATGCTCCTGTCCAGCACAGTTGACGATACTAAAGTCCGCAGTCGGAGCACATGACGCAGTCAACCAGCTGACCGCTCTGTGCCTCGCAGTCTGCTTGAAGGAACAAAGTGCACTTATCATTGTCGTAATTGGTCGGGTGTTTTGCATGGCAATGTGACTTCCTTAGATTCTCATACATCATGGCGGTGGTGGTGCTCAAATATCTAAAACGAAGTGGGTTCCCTTTCTCCTAACCGAGGGACACATTTGGACCAAAACCTAGGCGTTGCTTACGTCTTGTGCCTTTCTTGGTAGTTTCATCAATCCCTTCGCAACGAGACTGGACCTTGACGTGGTGCGACGGTTTGCGTACCTCATTGACCCATTGGGCTATACTGGGTGATGCCTCTGAGCGTCTTGAGAGCTACTCCTACCACGTTGGTCAATAGTGAGAGGTCAGACAAACTCAGTCTCCTGGTCGTCCAGGTTGGGGGTTTGAAATGGGATGGCGTACATTTCCGTAAAACTAAATCACTGCCATCCCGCTGCCTTGCGGACAGGCTTTTGAGCCAAAGGCTTTGGATGAGGACCCTAATCGTCCTCCAGTCTAGGTCTGGGCGCCCTGGCAGTATCTCAGCCCACATACAACCATGACATTTTCTTCAAACATTAATTAACTTCATCCTGCATCGGCCGTCGCGCAGATTATTAAGGGTTGCCTTATCTGCTGCATACAGCAGGGCGGATAAGCGAAAACATGCTACTGCTGGCGCCTCCTTTCTTTTCCACCTTTTTCTCTTACTCCCATCCCGTCCCCCATTACTGACCTTCCTTCTATAATTCCCAGCTTAATTGACAACAACTTAAGTGTTACTGGAGTAGAACCATCTACAAAAACCATCCGACCGCATCTATCGGACGCCTATCGGCAAAAGTCCCTTATATGGCCACGCTATCCCGTTTCCATTGCGACATTCAACGTTCGCACTCTGAGACAAACAGGTCAACAGGCTGCACTCGCACGCACCTTGGACACACTGGGTGTTGATGTGTGTTATGTGTCCGAAACTAGGATTAATGACCCTAACGTGGTTATTGAATTAACTGCATCCGGCTTATCCTCTCGTTATTGGTTGCAAGCATCCAGAGACGCCGATGCAGCACTCACGGGTCAAGCTGGTGTAGGTATCATTCTCAGCTCCAAGGCTGAGCCATCGTTGGTTGATTGGATTCCGGTGAACAGCCGTTTATGTGCAATCCGTTTGACGGCATCAGCTAAGGTTGATTCACGAAGTAGTACAAAAGGCTGTTTGTTTGTGATTTCCGTTTATGCTCCACCGACTGCAGTTCAGATGTTCTCAAGGACACATTCTATCACGAACTGAACGCGCTACTACGCAGTGCTACTAGTTCAGATATTATAGTACTTGCAGGGGATATGAACACACAAGTAGGGCGTCTGAGCTCTTCAGAAGCTCAGCTGGGTGGTAATTATGGACTTAACTCCGAACGGACTGACAACGGCGAGCGTCTGCTGCAACTGTGTGCGGAGCACCAGTTGTGTCTTAGTAACACCGCTTTTAGACACAGTGTGCGCCGAAGTGCCACTTGGCGTCCTCCTGTAGCTGGCCAGCGATGGACCCAAATTGACCACATAGCCATAAGTTACGGATGGCGCGGTTCGATTCTGGATTGCCGCTCGTACTGGAGTACCTGTGTCGACTATGATCATGCCTTGGTGCGCTGTCATTTCTCCATGAACTTTACCGGAAGGCGCACAAAGCGTCTCCTCCGATTGGCAACAGAGAAATTGTCCCAGCCCTCGGTCAGGCAAGCCTATCAAGAAGCACTGCATGATGAACTCTCGCTGTCTTGTCCTAATGACACTGAACTTCAGTGGAATAGGATCTCGGCCACCATGCACGACGCAGGAGTATCTGCTTGTGGCACTATCAGTCACCACCGCACCAGTCACTGGACATCCGAGAGTCCCGTGAACCTGTTGGAAGCTAAAAGACACCTCCCGGCTGGTTCTGTACACAATGTGACCAGACGGGCTATTAGGCGTGAACTAAAGCGGAGCCTGCGTGCTGAAAAGGAAGCCTGGTGGAGCCGTCAGGCTCAAGAAATGGAGGAGGCAGGAGCAGTAGGCAATTACCGCAAGCTCTTCCAGCTAATCCGCACCACTGGTCCCAGAAAATCAGGCGTCAGTGAGACAATCAGAGACAGCGCAGGTGCGCTGATACACAATAAGGAGCGCCGTATGGCTCGTTGGGCGGAACACTTTGAAGATCAGTTCAGCTGGCCCCCTGCTCCCGGACCTCTTCCTATTTAGGTGATGCAGGACGTGCCATGGACGGTTAGTTTAGAGCCTCCGTCGGAGGCCGAGGTCCGAAACGCGATCACAGCCTTCAATCGTTTTCGTGCTGCTGGCCCGGATTCCCTCCCACCTGCACTGTTTAAGGATGGAGGTGAGGTCTTCTGCAGGACACTGACCTCCCTATTCGGACGTATCTGGAACGAAGAGATTGTGCCGGCTAATTGGAACGAATCAATTATAGTGGCAATATACAACAAGGGCAGTCGCACAGACTGTGCGAACCACAGGAGTATTAGCCTAACGCCAGTTGTGACAAAATCACTGGCCTCGATTCTCGTTCGTCGCCTCATTGCGGAACGGGAATCTCGGATTAGGGAAGAGCAGGCCGGTTTTGGCTGTATAGACCATATATTTACTTTGCGGCAGGTGCTAGAGCAGCGCCACGCATACTGCAGACCGACAATAGCTGGGTTCCTCGATTTCAAGAGTGCGTTCGATTCAGTCGATCGATCGATTCTGTTCGAAATAGTTGCGCGGAAAGGTGTTCCCACGAAATATGTGAACATCCTTCGTGCTCTATACTCGAACACTACAGGTCGCGTCAGGGTCTACGGTGTGGCGTTCGTCAGGGTTGTCCGATTTCCCCGTTTTTGTTCAATTTCGTCTTGGATTCTATCATGCAGTCTTCCCTTGCGGAATCTCACGATGTAGACGTTGAAGTGCTACCTAGTGGAAGGTTAGTTGATCTAGATTCTGCGGACGATATCGTTTGCTTTTCGACAATGTTAAGGCGGCCCAATCAACCCTGAATAGCCTCCCTGTAGTGGTCCCATTATTTGGTATGCACTTTGCACCTTCAAAATGCAAAGTGTTGCTGCAGGACCACCAGCCACTTGATGACCCTTGACGCTTGCTAACGAGAAACTCGATGTGGTTGATCATTTCACTTATCTTGGCAGCTGCATCAGCAATGATGGGCGCATAGAAACTGACGTCAGCTCACGCATTGCAAAGGCCAGAGCTACCTTATGGAACCTGCGTCATCTTTGGCGACAGAAGGGAGTTTCCCTTCGTCTGAAAGGCCGTGTATACAAGGCCACAGTGAGGGCCGTTCTGCTCTATGGTAGTGAGATTTGGCCCTTTCGGTCTGAAGATCTGAGGCGCCTTCAAGTCTTTGATCATCGTTGTCTGGGAAGCACTGCTGGTGTCGGATGGCACCAGCGTGTCCGCAACGATGATGTGCGTAGGCGATTACTAGGTGGTGATAATCATGCTAGCTCCCTAGAACAACAGATAGCACTGAATAAGTTGCGTTGGCTCGGGCACGTGCTACGCATGCCTGGTCACCGCTTACCTATGAGGGCCTTGTTTAGTCTGCCAGGTGTAGGGTGGCGCAAGGCTCGAGGTGGACAGAAGTTGACTTGGGAGCGGGAAATGAAGTCCCTGACGACCAAACTGAATGCAGTTGGTCCGTTTCGCCTTCCGGGCTTGAGTCCACGTGACTCGCCTTGTGCTTGGCTCGAGACTTTACAGGACATGGCTCGCAACCGACACCAGTGGCGCGTGTGCTGCCGTCTCCTAATCGGATTGCCTGTTTAAAGTGTGGTGCTGTTATCTGCGGGGTAATGGCTGATTATGACGCGTGGCAGTGAAAGCCGCAAGGAAGCTGTCTCGCCGATGCCGCCTTCGCACGATAGCCGTTTGTGACGGTATGTTGTCTAAACAAGATGTAGGCGCCTTGACCCAGAATGTTTGCTTAGAGCATTAAGGTTTTCAGGTAAGTCCCCCTTTCTCTCCCTCTTATTCTTTATTTCATAGGTCCTCATGGTTGTATGGCAGCGAAGCATCAGTTCAAATGGCTGATGTACTGCTGTTGATGATGGTACGTGTGCTACATCCGCTGCAGCTGATCTGTACGGTTGCATGCACGTTGTGTTTCTTGCATTTCAGGTGTTGGTTGTTGATTTAATTTCTCGGTGTGCCTGCTCTTGATATGAATGTTGACAAGGTGCCTACCGTCCACCTCGATTAATGACTTCAGGAGATTGATACTGGATGGCCGGGTGCACAGTTTTTGTGACCGTCTTTGGCACAGAAAGTAGTTCCATGCATTCAGTGTGGAGGGTTTAACGACCCAGCCACTACCTTGTGTACGTTTGGTGCGCATAATTCCCCAAAAGGCTAGACGGGAATGCTGACGCTATACATGTTGAAGTAGTGTGGGCCAGCTCCTTTTATCAAACCTGGTTCCCATCCACATGCCTCCCTGTCTCATTCCCTCCGGTTTACACTGGATATGGCGTTGTGTGGATGGAGCTGTGTGATATTGCGCATGCCACCCAATATCCCTATGTAGGCGCAGACGTGCTGTGGCTGTCCCCGTGGAGGACGCAATGACAGGCAAATCCGCAGTGTGTGCCGCCAGCTATATCGGACACAAATCTTGCGGCTACATGTTTGTAGTAAACTACACGATGTCGTATCACCCTAGTGTCGCAGCTATCCATCTGAGATTGCGGTGATCCCTTTGATCTCTGAGTGACGTTTTCTATGCTTTCCTTCCGGTGATCATGTCGGTAGCTCCGGTCCTCTGTCATGTCCCAACGATACTCATTTCCCACTCGCTTTATCTTTCTTTCTGTTTGCATTATTATTAGCAGAGTAAAGTTGTGCTTCCTAAACAAACTACTGTCTTTCGCATAATATAACCCCGGGTAAATTAATCAACCCAGATTTTCGTTTCAGCCTTCATCTATCGGATGAGCGCTTTATTAACGAGCGAGTGTACAGCAGAATCGAGAAGGCCTATCCAATCCCGTCGCAATCTCGGGACATTTGGCGGAGTTTTTTGTTCCGTGACACTATCTCAATTCAGCAGCGTTGTCTTTCTTCGTCTCGGTAGGAGGGTGTCGAGGCGCTTTATTGTGCTGAAACGTTCTTTTAGGTTTCGTGGTTGGCCATGCTGGATTATTGCACTCATTTCTACAATTCTTTTTGGCTTACTTCATCTTGCTGCTCACTGTGCTCTCTATCTGCGCTATTTGCACTAACGGCGCCATTGAGGGTGGCGGAGTCTATTGTATCCTTTTCCGCTTCTTTCACTTACTATGTTGCCTCTGTTTAGGGTTGTTTATCGACAATCTGCGTTCTACCATATCTCCGTTTCCAGAACCCGTTATTGTGGTTCGCGTAGGCCACTTATGACTAAAGCTCGTTTCTCAAGCTCTTATCGACCATTGAACAAATGTTCGAGTGTTGTACTGATTGAACTTGTGTAGTTGTGCGAGCTTCTACATCTACGCACAGATTCTCTTCCAGTGCCCATGTAAATCGACTCCACTGTTTTTCATTCACTGCAATGTTGGCTTGTGAAACAACGCCTCCATCTTAACAATCTACAGTGCTTTTAATTTTTTGGGTATTAGTCCTTTCATAGCTGCTGTCTTCTTACTTATGCAGCTTGGTTCATCCGGATTATTCTATTGTCATCGGGATACCAGCCACCCGAGCTCTTGATACAGCAACGCGAGGTGTGATCCTAGCTAACGAGCCAGCACTTGTGCTCGCCTTGTTGTAACTCGGTGATTGCTTATGCTAAGTGTAGTCATTCTTTGCTTACGTTTGTAAGTGAAGGCCCATAGGCTTATGAATCACAAGCCCGCCTTGTAATCGGAGGGCACGGGTTCGAGCCTGCCCAAGGACCGGGCGACTCTCGCAGTATTCTTAGCCGACCTACGACTAGTGGTGGTTTGGTGGCAGCGAAGCGTCGGTACTGCGAACTGGCACACTGCTGATGCGTTTTATGTTCGGAAGAAATTTGAGAGATCCTACTCCGGGTCCTTCGAATGATCAGCTGAATTTATTTGTTACCAAGCCAATGGCCTTTTGCATGAACGTTATTCTACATTTACATTTGTACACCAATCCTACCTTCCTTGGTCTACTTAGTTTGAAATGATCAGAATTGTGGTTTGCTCATCATTTCACTTTCTGAAAGGGCTTAGTTCGTATGTTAAATTTCAAAGTCGTCTTTCTGTTGTTTTTCTTACCGCTTTTAGCCTCTTTATTATAATATACAAGTGTTCGACTTCTTGCCTTAACAATCGTCTGTAGTTATGCTCAGTCGAACTCTGGGTCCGGAGTTTGGCGGTGCCGTTGGAACTCTCTTTTTCTTAGGGCAGGTTTGTTGCTCTGCCTTGTACATCTCTGGATTCGTCGAGGCCTTTGTTACCTATTTCGGTCCTCAAGGTTTGTTTTTACTTTTGGTTATGATTGTCTGGTGCTTGCTATGAATTTCGATAATTGTCTAACTCCGATCTGCCCCATTTAACTAGGGGTACTCAAACTTTCTGGGCCGTGAACCCTTTTTAGTGGAACCTCGCACAGCGAACCCTCTGATATTTTTAACTACAGTAGCGGGCGCCGGTGGCCAAGTGGTCTTCACGCCTGGCTCGCAATCATAAAGTCATCACTTCGAATCCGCGTAGGGGTCGGACGTTCTCGCGGTATACTCAGCCCACGCGCTACCGGTGGTGGTCGCGCGGCAGCGAAGCGCCGTTACTGTGTACAGCTGACACATTATTTATTACAGCAGCAGGCTTTAGTAAAGTGAGAATAAGGAGGCGTGTCCTGTACACATTCATTAGTGTACACTGAACCAACACAGGTGTTCATTAACGTTATTAAAAATTAGTGTTAAATTTAGGTAGAAAACACGTCCACCAGTTTTTAATGTATGGAAATGAAATTGTTTCCGACTTGTAGCGCTGACTTATTTGATGTTTGGTGTTATTGAGGACAACTTCAACCTCATGTCTGCTTCAGCTTCACGTCTATTGCAATACTTTGTTTTTGTATAGGTTTATTACTAAAATGCACTTTCACGCAGATAGGTTGTGGTAAATTGGAGTACGGTAACGGCCACCGGTCGATGTGAAGGGAGGACGTTTTTCATGCAAGTAAATGGGTTATTACCCAATGCAAATTCTTCCAATTTTCCTCATTTTCGCTGGGGATATACTCATTATTGGATGGAAGTAGCAAGAATAGTTATCTCTGTGTAGCGGCATCTAAAATCCCTCAGGTATATCGAGCAATTATGATGCCGATCATTCCCGATATTTCATATTAGCAACATGTTCGTTAAGGAAATTTTTGAATTCCGACGCAGGCTTTGTTTCGATTGCGTACGGCGATTAGTTATTTCATATCTTCACCACTCTCTGTTCGAAGCAAAGTTGGTGAGCGACCCACTTCAAATCCAGTACTACAAGATTGTACCGGTGTCTTCGTGTGCTGCTTGTTGTGCGCATATGGAGCAGCTTCCTCTAGATGGAGCAGTCACCAAGATGTACTGTCCGATGCGGCATAATGAGGTCAATCCGCACTCACCGATGAGACAGGCTATAGAGCCCCTGCCTCTTGCACCGATCTTCATACGATAGATCCCGTAAACGGGTAATGAACCTGATGACCACATGTACCCGCTCAATCCTTTCTACCTCGCTGCGGGTGATAGGACAGTATTCCGACGAGCCGCACTCTACCATTGCTCATATTATGGAGCCAAAGAGGCGAGTGACGATCTCTTCGGATCAAATGCAGAAGCTTCGCTTGAGAACCGAAAGCACAGGAAGTCTGTTTTGGTTAAGCCCATTGGTGTTGTCTCTAGACTTTAGATCGCAGCGTGAGAGTACACCGAGGTCTTTCACAAAAGCTACGTGTGAGAGACATCTCGACTGTTTTACTACAATAAAAAATATGAGGTGTAAACATATCATGATAATCAACATTGCAGAATACGAAATACAAACTAGCTTATCGTTTCGTCCTGCAGCACTTTATTCCTCGCCTTTTTGCCTTTTCGACTATTCTTAACTGAAAAATCACGTTTTCAGCGCGCGTCAATACGCACTTTTAGAGCAATATCGCACTCTTTCTCCAAAATAGGTCTTTTGGTGGATGGCGTTTTCCCAGCCGATAACCGATGGTGGATCTACCTCTATGCTACGTGTGTTACCCTGATCTGCCTTGGTATTTTACTCATCGGCAGTACGATGTTTGCCCGCGTTCTCTTTTTCATTCTCATTGTAAGTCCCTGCATTTTCTGTCGTTTTCTTCAAAGTGCATGTTTTCCACCATGTTTACTTAAACACGACAAAAACTTGGAGTCAATCCGCATTTTATTTACAGGTACCATTTTTATTTACCTTACCCCAGGCTAATTACATTAAACCAGAAGACTAGCATATTTGCGCGAACACCTGATTTTACCGGGTTATCGTAGCTTTTTGACCGCTCAATTACAATGTATTAAGCGCCCGATTTGTAACCATTCTGTTGTTTACCTTAATACTGCTTCATGACGTCTCTCAGCCGTCTGAGTGCTTTACTGAAATAGGTCACCTTTTCTCCTTGGCTTCTGTTTCTTGAGACTTCTTATCGTATATATGCCTTTGGATCCACATTACTCCTCGGCTTCCAGTTTGTCTATCTTTCCTATTTCCTATCATGGTGGGTTGAAGGTGACGAGTCAATTAGTTCTTCTATCTTGCTGTTCGGGAGCAAGTAAAAATTGGCTAGAAAATCCACTATTTTAGCGATTAACCGATTACTAACAATTACCGCATCGATTTCGAACGTTCTGGAATGCTCTAGCTTCTGCACGTGAATAAAAACCACCTGACACCACAGCAAAAGCTATGGGGAACTACTAACCTTGGTACCTGACCTTCCAATTCTAGAAGTCAAAGGTCAATAAGAGACTTATAAATACAGCCAGGGTCCGCGTAGTTATAGAGTGTTTAGTGACGGCGATTAATACGTTATTTTTTCCAGATCATTGGCGTTCTGCTTTTTCCTTCGGTTGGGCTAGAAGTTTTGTGGAGCAGTAAAGTGTCACTTTCGGAATCGCGTCTAGTGAGAAGATTATAACACTTAACTTGGGTACTTCAAGAGCCAGAATCCCTTGCTATAGGCAAAGTGCGATTCAAAAGACAACGTCATGGGCATGACAGCGTTTCCAATACAGCTGGGATAAGTCCGTTTGTCTAAATTGCGTCCACTCTGCTTTCAGAGCATTTGGCCATTAGATTAATAGAGACGGGTTGAAGCACTGTATCAGAGTGGCTCATACGACTGAGGGATATGGTTGATTACTGATACTTGCCTCGCATCTACTGCTTGTTCCTCGCATTGCCTCTCGCTAACTATTTCGCTTAACTTAGCAGTTTCTCCTGTATCCCGAGGTTACTCGGTATCAGTCGCTGATGTGACCTATTGCGCTAGGGCTGCGATTAGCCTACCGTGGGTTATTAGCTCTTTTCGTTTCTATTTACCACCAGGTCCCCCACCCAGCACTTATTTATTCTTAAACTCGGTGGTACATGTTACCTAACCGTGGTGAATGACATTCTCCTGCCAACCACAATACGCGAACTCTGACAGTCGCTTCTATAAAGTACCGAAAACGTATATACCACAGCTAGCCTTTTTCACTTATGTATAACTGACTGTCTAGTTGCTAGACTGTTGAGATTACTTACTTAACTGACTGTATGTGAGCACGCATTATCTCATAGGTTTCATCACTACTACTGATTAGGTCTTTTTTTAAGGGCCATAATGAATGACCATATGCGTTTCTAACATGTGGTCGGTGTTGTAACTGACACCGCTTGTGGTGTAAGCGATGACTCATCGCACCCTTAGCTTACGCGTTAGGCGGGTGTTCCTCATCTATTTTTATCGACACGCTATTCCATCTGTTTGTGGCTCCTTTCCTCCAAACGGGCAAATTACGCTTCATGGTCGCGATCATACGAGCTTGCGTATATAGGTGCATATTTCTCGGGACTGTGAGACGCGGTCCAATGAGCCTGGTACGACGGTGCTTAGAAATTATGTTCCACAGATAATTGGGCCAGGAGAAGGTCAACAAAATGTTTCATAGGTGTTATACTGAGCTTGAGTGGCCGTTTTACAAATGCGTCGATTTTTCAATAGCGTGAATTGGAGTCGTAATAAAAGAAGCTGGGTGTCTAACCTACCAGCGCTTCAGTGGTTTAACAAGCGAATCACAAGTATGCAAGTGGGTACAACTACAGTTCAGAGTGGATTTGGGAGTCCAGCCGACCAATTCGTCAGTGGTTCAGCTGACACATAGTAGCAGTAGAGCCAAATAAAATCAAGGGGAAGTGTTGAAGGCCAAGAGGGATGAAGGGGATAAAATCAAGCCTTGGATGTCCAACTCACCGATGTACCAGTGGGGTCACTTGTCAACGGTGCACCTTCGGGCCGCGTAAAACTGGGGCATGCAATAGAAGACAAAGCTAAATTGCAAAACGACAGCTGTTTTTTTCGACCAAATTGATACGATCATTCACAGTCGTCTGGGGTGCTCATTTGTCTCCAAATCTTTAGGTCGTCCGCAAACAGGTCACATGGCGACCGAAGAAGTTAAGGTAGATCGTTTATCTTGATTAGGAACAGAGTGAGCCTCAGCACCATGCCTTGGGGGTACTCCACTAGTAGAAGGATACCAGTCATTTGGATGGCCGTTGACCGTAACCTACGCTTTCGCCCAACGAGTAAATCCTGAATCCACTGGTGTAGTGGGTGTGCGCTATGGCGTTACTTTGTAAAATATTGGCTTCTGGACAAGTATACTACCATCCTACGCGCACTCTACGTCCACATCTCCGGCAGATTGAGGGTCTATGATAAACTTTCTTCGTCCTTCGCTATCAATAGTGGTGTGCGACAGAGCTTCCCTATGTCCCCGTTCTTCTTTATTTTTACGATTGAAGACGTCGAGAGCTCCAGAGACTTACCCACATTTCGGACTGCAACTATTACCGGGCAAGCGAGAAACCGACTTTGATTATGCAGATGACATCGCCCAACTTGGTGACAACTCGTTGAGTATGCAAGCCGTTCTAAACCGTTTGGCGATTGTGGCATCTAAATACGAAATGTGCTTCGTCCCGTCGAAATGTAGAGTGCTACTCCAGGATTGGCACTCGCCCGTTCCCGCGCTTACTTTTGATGGTTCATAGCTTGAACACGATGATAGCTCTCTATGCTTGGGCAACTGCATGTCTGCTGGTGGCGCTATCAGCAAGGAACTTTCTCTCCACATCGCTAACCCCCACTCTGCTTTTGTCAACCAGCAACACTTGTGGAGCCGTCGAGATGTCTCTTGCTGAAGGGCATGTTGACAATGCCACCGTTCAGGCGGTGTTGTTTTATGCAAGCGAGTCATGACCAATTCGCGTAGACGACATGTGCGCTGGCTTTGCCTTCGATAACGGGAGCTTAAGGAGGATTGTTCCTGTGTGGTGGCAACAACGTATCTGCGACGGGGGAGTCAGACTTCGTGTCTTAGGGAATGTGAGCATTCCCTTCAACAAGTTGATTTTGTTGCATCAGTTAGGATGACTTGGTCACGCCCTACATGTGCCAGCTGAGCGTTTGTCATGTCGCGCTCTGTTTGCTCATGCAGGAATTGACTGGAAGAGACCACTTGGCGGCAACATATGATATCGTTGACTTCATGTCTTGCTGCCGTTGGATCCACACGTCTGCTCGATGGCTGGAAGTACTTCAGTATATTGCACGCAATGGAAACCAGTGTAACTTATATTTACTTACTTGTTTAGATTCAGATGTTTAATGCTTAACAATTAAAAAACCAAAAAAACGCTGTGTAAAATAGCAAATAAATGTTCTGTTTTTCTTTTATTTCGGCACAATAGCTTTAATGTTGCTCGCCTTCAGCTGATGCGGCGAATAAACCTGTCCTCTTCCAGTGATTTCCATTTTTTCGTATCTGTTTCTATTCGTTAGACTGTTGTTACTAAGTACATACCGATGCAGTGATCCAACAACACCACAGACTCCCAGTTTGTCGAAGCGGACCTCATGGTTTACCATGAGGTAGATTACGTCGATAGACTTCTCCTGGTTCACTGCCTGCAACCACTCATACCCCATCACCAGCAGGTATATCGCATACTTTGAAACGTATACTGCCGATTTAATCGTTCATGTGATGCTGCGAATCCACGGTAGCAGGTTCACTATTTTCATTGAATGAAACAGCGAAATAGCTGTTAACCAGTTCGCTTGTACAAATCGGATCATTTATTTTGTAATTATCTTTTGACAGATAACTTTTGTTTAGCGGTTTTTCGCTTCAACGATTTAGTTGATTCCCTTTTTGTTTTGACTATCGAATGCTTGTTTTTCATCTGTCAATTTATTTAGACTGCTTAGCACTTTCTTTAGTTATAACCAACTGCTGCTGTACTATAAAAGAGATCGTTGAATTTACGACTTTTTGAGCATTACAGCTATTTTGTATTGCATAGGTTCTTTGCCAATTGATCACCCGTTTTTTAATACTTAGCAGGAATCGCATATACAGGGTGATAGATGTTATGTAGCTCATCTGCTGCAATCTGTGAGCCATTGTCTAAGAGGAATCGATTCGAGGATCGAATCAAGTTGTTTAACAGGGCTCAGTAGGCAGTTCTATCGGACCTGCAAGTTACTTGTGTTTTTGCCAAACTGTTTCCTGTATTTGATCGTTAACGCTAGATGTGAATGAGATGACTCTGTGATCACTACCGGTGAAATTCTACAGAACGTCGGTGGAAGGTGCTGATAGGCCGACTGAAACGGCCAACTCCAAACTGTGTTTCTTCTTAATGAGAGACAACTTGCTGAGCCCCCCTTCACATACATGCATATAGTGGAGACGATGGTTATAAGTTTAATATGGAGATGATTTAAGGACCATGGCAAATCAGGTACATTCAAGTTTCCCTCTATCATCTTGCAGTTCGCAGCTTGACATGCAATATGACAACAATAGTGGTCTTAGGCAGTATATTGGTACACTCGATAATGACAATATCCAGGATAACATCTAGAAAATCGGCATCGTCGAGGCGCCTCTGTGTGTGGACGAAAGATTTCGAAGCGTGAATAGATGGTCATAAATGGCACAGCTTCCAGTTAGTCCAAACTTACGACAACCGATAAAGCTCTTGAAGTCTGAGACGTGATCGACTGATTCGAGAGTGTT